CAGGTCCACTAATGGGCTCTTTGTTAATTAGTAACAACCATAACAATACGGTTAAAGATCGCCTGTGTGGTTAAACTTCAGGTTTTCTGGTGAAATTACTGCAGAGGAGAAATAAATTATATGGGATATGTATCACTATCCTGATGTGACAGCGCTTGGTGTGGGACGGGACTGGAATGGGATTTGGAGATGAGTTTGGCCAACGGACTATTTTAGTAGCACCTCTCCATTCAGGGGCCAACAGGATGCCCTGCCACCAAGCAGTACTCCTCCAAAATAGATGACACAGCCCAGGCAAGAGGCTGTCTGAGCTCCTTGTGCTACCTGTCTGCAGGATGAGCACAGCTGAGCTATCCAAACTAAAACGCACTTTATAGCCAGGAGAAACACAGCATCATACCAAGGCCACCTTTTTCTGTTGCTAAATAAATATGAATTTCCAGAAGATTCAAACCAGCTATCTCTTGGTGTGCACACTTGTTGTTTCAAGCGTAAAAGATAGCAACTTGTATAAAATGATGTCATTAAAAAAAAAGGCGGGTGGGGGGAAGACTTAGTGTAAATGTAAAAGGAAAGAAAGCCTTCAGTTTGCAATAATGACATATAATTATTCCTTAAGCTCCTTGAATTGCTGCTTCCTTGCTCTTAGAAAGGGCAATATAAAATAGATGATTTATTGAAGAATCGTATAGGCGAAGCACCTGATTTGGTTTCCCAGGATGGAGCAAGAAAGCTACCTTGTTGTCATCATGATGCCTGGCACTGAGGACCACACATTTAACATTCAGGATATGGCTTATTGCTCAGATAAGCAGCACTGAATGCTTTGCCTGTAAAGAAGGCTGAAAGACAGTTTTTTTCCCAACTGAATACACACAGGTTGCTTCCTGCATAAAAAAAATCGTATTTTGTCAGAAAAATGAGCAACAAGGTATATAATATCTGTGAAATCATGCATAAAAATGTCAGTTTTCTGTTTTATAGCTGTAATATCCATTTCATACAAATCAAATTAATTAAGAGAATCAGTATTATGCATATCAATAGCAGATTGCTTCTTTTATTCTTCAGATAAATAAAGGCTTTTGAAATTTTTGTTTTGCTTAAAAAATAAAAACCAATTACTTTACAGAGTATTTTTTTTTCTGCCTGAAATAAATATATGGGTTCTAAAATATGACCTCTCTTTTACACCATGTGATAATTTCACCTGCTTACAGTTCTTGTGCCAGGCAGCAGAATCACTTATCTTCCATTTTCCACGATTAAACATTTCCTAAAAGGCTGTATTTGAAAACAGTGCAACCTAGATGTGTCTTGTAGGCAAAGCTGAAGGAGAGGAATGACCCTGAAACCTTTAAGTGGTATCACTACTTTACTTTTTGATTCTTTGCAGTGGTTTTCAAAGTTTACTTATGAACACTCATTTTGGAGCCAAACTGCATTGAATTATTGTAAACTAAATCAAGAACAGCTGAATGTTGTTCATTCTGTCTTCATTGCCTGCCACATTCGATGGGAGCAAAGGGAATTCAAGAATCCTAGAAATGCCTCTTACAGACTAACACAGAGAACTGCACAGTGTTTCCCCACTATTCAATTCTTCTGAAAAGGCATGAGGTAGTGAGATATCTACTCAACACATTCCTGTTAAATATTAATTTTATGCTTCATGCTGGCTTATTTAAGGAATGACTGTGTATTTAACAACCCTCTGGTTGCACTTCTGACCCAAGATGAAAGCCCAGCACCATGGTAATAAATAGCAGTACTCTCCTGTTGAAGAAAATAGACCAGTCTGTTCAAGACTAAGTTCTTTTCCCACCTACACTCTGCAGCTGGAGGATCATTGCACAACTGCCACATGAAGGACGGGGCAGAGTAGTGCGGCCCCGGCTCCCGGGCCCAGGGCTGGGAGGTTTCCAAGGACTGGGAAGCAGCAGCGTGTGCATCTATGGAGTCGCCTGCCAAGGCAGGGGCTTTATCTCAGGTCCTTTGAAAATTTATCGAACGCGAGAAACTTTGCAGACAACGTTCCAGGTTCAAAGTATTGATGTTGCGAGTTTGCACCAGCAAACACTGACGTAACTGTGGGGAAGGGATTAGACTGTTGTATAAGCGTAAATAAGTACATTGTGTTTTTGAATCCAGAGTAACGAGACAAGTAGTGAGAAATAAACAAACAAAAATAAATTGCAGCTGCAAATATTTCAGTTTTACACTAAATTGTTTCCGAAAACTTTCTTGAATTCAGTCTTTTTCAACCTCAACCACTGCATTTTGTGTTTTTTCATTATTATTTTAGGACAGGAATGGAATAAAAAGAATCTTTGCCATAGATTTGCTCTTTATCTGGTATCAAAAAATCAGCAAAAGATTATGAAATATTCCAAAATATTTTTGCCAGGAAATTTTTTTCAAAAGATTTTTTTTTTCACAGAAGTTTTCTTAAAGATACCAAATGGGAAAAGGTCCGAATAAAATGAAGAATTCCAAATCACACTCCAGTTTTCATCTGAAATGGCTCGGTTTAAGCTACTAAATATTAAAAGAAGTTGTGTGTAAAACTTACAAAAGGTTTAGCTGGAAACTTCCCAGCCCGTAAGTGTTTGCCTATCAGCTCTAACAACCAAGAGAAAAGGAGCACGAGAAAATTAAGCAATGGGAAGTCTGTGACACATGTGGACATATGCAGTTGCATTTGGGGGAAATTATAGCCAAAAAACTCTTTCTGTTCATCTAGGAATAAAAATGTACAATCAATAGCACTTCTTTAATTCTCCCATGATGCACCTTCATAATCCACTGTGTTCAAAGCCACATCTTGCTTGGGGAGGCAGTGTCCATGCGCAAGAGTGCTCAGCCCTGAGGAAGATGGAGTCAATGCTCTTTTCCTCATAGTTGCAATTTGCGTAAATTGAAAATCTTGCTTCCCCCTTTCCCTCAGAAACAAGAATGCAAAATCACTGAAGTCTCTTCAGAAGAAACAGTAATCCATTGTTCATTATCAGTCAGGAGGACACATCACACTGCAGTCAGAGTGACTACTATTGAAGTATAAAACTTCAGCTTACCTCCACTTAAACTGTCACAAGGCTGAAAAAAATATTTACTGAAAATACCTCAGACCTGACAATTCTTTCTCATTTTGCTGTGTCATAAACAGCTCGTAACTCCCTTTAAAACGTTCACTGGCTGGGCCTAATACCGGAAGTTTCTCAAGGTGTATGGCTTAATGTTAAAGCTCAGGGAAAGTGTCCATCTGCTGAAAACAGGAGTTCAAGAGGAATTCACATAGCCCAGTAAATTGAATTTAAAGTGATAGCTACACAGCCGGTTGAACAAGGGAATTGATTCAGCTGTAAAATAACCCAGAACACCCCCACCATGTTAGTTTTCAGGCTAATCAGAGTCCAAGCACTCACATCTGTACAAGGGATTGAGCAGGTGAAAGGGGCTGCGGTGCCGGGGCCAGGGCAGGACTGTCCTTCTTCACAGCTGTTCGGAGGAAACTCAGAGTGAGTTGGCACTGTAGCCATGCCCTCAGCTCACATACCTGCTGCTTACACCTTTCTGAAGGGTGACTCTCCCAAAGACAAAAAACCTAAAATGTGCAGGGCTCTGACATAGCAGCCCATTTGCAGTTCCTAGAGACTGCAGTTCCCATCAGCATCCCTGGGCACTCACATATCCAAGGCTGAGCATGACTAAACTGCACTTCTAACATTATTACTTTCACAGAGCAAGCCTACCACAAGGTTTCACAGGCTTTCGTATTTATTTTTCCGTGGGAAGAAAAAATACAAAGGATAATCACTGAAGAGGATGAGATGCATTAAAAACTCAGTATTCTGCTACAGTGATTGTGGATTTTTTTTTTCTTGGCCACATTAGCAGCAGCTTTCTTTATCAGATGTGTAACTCCATAGCTTCTTCCATAGTCCATTTATCTGCAGGAAAGCGTGCTACTGCCAGAATAGCTGATACCTGGTACAAGAACTATTCTGAAGTGAAAAGCACAGAAGACCTGATTCTCCAACCTGTGAGTCTGTTTTGATGCTCTGTCTCCATGGATTTCTCTGGAGACAGAAGATTTCCATGATGATAGAAGGAAAAAGCCATTGGCTGGCGATCAGACCTTGCACTCCTGGTGGCTTTTACTGAACATGTAGAGTGCTACAAAGCACTGCATGAAAAAATCTCTCTCCTTGGTTTCCTATTACTTGCCTGCCCTTAGCCAAATCCACCTAAAAATCTGCATTACTCCTGGTGATAAAACATCCATATTTCATACCTTGAAGACAGGAAGAACAAAATAGGAACACCTTGAAAATGTCCTCTGTAACATGGCAAAACTCACACATTTAAAAATTGTAAACATATTTCAACTCACATTTATTCACATGTTACTGCTTTCACATTGATGTGGTGCAAGATACTCTTCAATTCAGATGGGGCCACAACTTACCCCAGTAAACTCTTCATATATTTTACACCATGAATTAATACTGTACTCAGGATATTAATAAATAATTGAAAAGTCTGTAAATAACCTACAGTAAACTCCTTTGTAAAATTATTTACCTTATTTAAGTGGATTTATTTTGGCATCAAAATAAATTATACCATGAACTGTAGATGCAACCATTCAGGCAATTTTTGTGTCCCTGTACGGTCTTCACCAGTGCTGTATGTCTGCCCAAGTTTGGGATTGAGCAGAAACTGATGAAGAAACTCCAAGTCCAAACTGGATTTGATCTTTTGGTGCTCTCTTCACTCCCATTAAAGTCAGTGGGTCTTGAAGGGACTCAGCCCATTCCAGGGAGCTCCTGTAGTGAGGTACTAAGTGATCTACTGATCCAGACACCCCTCAGCCCAGGTTGAAAAGTGGAACACTTTGATCTCCTCTCAGATCTCTGAACACAGCAGATTTCCTTCTGCCCATGTGTGTGTTGCTTCCCAACCCCACAGAGCAAAATCCACCATTCACACCAGGCATGGCCTGTTCTGGTACCTGACTATGAACTTTAGACATAGCCTTCATGGCAGGCGTGGTTGCCATTGATAAGGCTGAAGGTAGCCAGGGAATGGTTGGTGCTCTTGAGGGAGGTCATGCGCGTGGTGCTCCTGGCCATGCTCTGAGAGCGGATAAGGAGACGAGCTCTGCAGCAGAAGAGCTGATTGTTGAACTGTTTTCTAAAACTCTTGCTGAGCAAGTAGAGAGCAAACGGGTTGACACAAGAGTTAGTGAAGGCCAGGATTCGAGCACAGATACTGGCAATGAAATGCAGCACTGAGGTGTCCACCTCTGAGTAGTGGTAGGAACGGTATAAATAGATGATGTGAGTGGGAAGCCAGCACAAGGCGAAGAGGCACACGAAGACCAGTACTGTCCTGGCCAGGCGCTTACGAGATTCAATCTGCAAGAACAAAAGGAAATGCAACAAAAGGAGATTAAATTAAGA